TACCAAGTATAATAGATAATTACAAGAGTAGATAATATTAATTTTGTAACAGTGCGGAAATGAATTGTTAGATAAATAATAAAGTGTACATTAAAAAAATATCTTTATTCTACAATTTTTTAAAAATTTAGTTATTGCTGATAGTATCGAAACAGGATCCATTTCTATAGGTCTATCCCTTGACGTCCGAATATTTTGTCTCCGATATCCCGATGGTTCGGGACTCCACGCATCACATAATATTTAAAACGGTTTAGAATGACAAAGAAACGGACAAACACGTGGCCACGAGAAATGTTGCCGTTTCGAAGCACGTACACCACTGTTGCGTCTATTTTATCCTTGTGGAGCTCCGCGCGCGAGAGGGTAATGCTCCTCTAAAGCGTTAGGGATACGCGCAAGCGTACCGTGGAATTTGAATGCCGTTCCTCGATTTTCGCCGATATATCTGCACCGAGCGAAAACGTTGACAATTCAGCAATTTTATTCACAGGTGTTGCGACACAATCACGCAGTGTTGCGCAACATTATAACGTAATTATATAATCAGAACGCGCGCGCGTGCGTGCTCTCATAAAATATTGATTACGTAAATGAAAACTTGTAGGAGAAAAATGTTTTCCTTTTCTTTAAAAAGATAAAAGAGAGAGGAAATTATAGATCTGTTTCGTGTATTTGTTTTATATAATCCGCCGTAGTCGAGGATTTACGTTGCTTTGAGCGACTGCTTGGTGCGGTGTCGCGTTCCAGCTCCCGATGACAGTCGTATAGCAGACGTGTGAAATTACCCTTCCGCCTTCCACGTGTATATTACAATAATGCAGCAGTCACATTGGATGACTCCTGTTTCTGCGCGAAACGTTTACGTACTCTCTCAACTATTATTCCTACCTGTCATGTCTTTACATGACAACTGAACGGAAATCGATACGCGTGGTAAATCGGAACGAGTTCGGAGTAGGTTTGAGCACGTCTCTCCGCAGTCTTAGATATGCACGCATGTACATATATCTTTATTATTTCACGGATTCTCACGTTCGTGTCCAAACTTGCTTTAATTTCGTTAAACAAAATATATTGTCACGATATATCATTTCGCAATGAATGTTCGACAGTGTCGTAGTACGTAGTTTGAAAATGAATTAGTCGTATAGTCGTCTGCAACGAAATTATAAATTGTCGATTTTATTAAAAAAAAAAACCAAACAAAAAAAATTTATATAGATATATTGTCTATAGACATAATATATAATATATTATCATTGAAAGTAATCATCATTCCGATTTGATTTCTAGCTTACGGCTGCGTCGCAGGTGTGCATTGTGGGAAAAAAGGCCATCGCGCTATATATGTATATGTAATCATAATCGCGAGCATGTACAAATGCAGGTAGACGAACAGGGGAGGATTAGAATTCGCATATAGCGGCCGTAAAGATATCCAGTTTATCGCCCGGCAAACCACTAAACGCCGTTCAATTGTCTCGAGTCATAAAACAAATGGCTCTTCGTAGATTCTTACACAAACTTACACAGCCGCCCCATGCGGATCATGTCTGCAGGGCTTGATCGATCACGATCGCGAATTGTAAAGTGGGAATATTAACCTTTCACGATCATAAAGTTCATGCATTTTGAACGTTATTTGTAACGATTGCGCTGCTTTGATAAAAAATATAATGTACCATGTGTTTGTGTGTGTGTGTTTCATGAGAGTGCTATAATATTTTATTTTTAACTGAATTTAATGACGAACTTATCCGCCAATCATAACTGTGATTGAAATATCATTTGATTCTCTAATTCGTCTCACAAACGTTCAGTTCACACGCCCGGGAGCTGGCCATCTCCTTGAAGAGAAAGAAACGTTCGTCGTTTATTTCTAGGAAAAAAAAAGAGTATCCCGTCGCGTTATCGAGTAACTAATACAAAGGAGGTGGTTCATTATCTTCCGAGCGGATTCCGCCGGACGCGGTCTCGAATGTCTTTTCTAAGCACTCTTCTCTTTCCATTTCTGTCCTAGCTGTTCTGCTCAATAGCGGCCTCCTTATCTGTACGGAGATTTGCGCGGTTCACTACGTTGAATTGAATCCCGCTATGGGAATCGTGACCGTCGGTTTCTCGCAGTATCACGGACGTATACGCGCGTATATATGTGTGAGAGGTCGTGCGGATGCGTTTTGCTCATTCGCGAGATTCGCGCCACGGACATCTTTCAATTTATTTAGATCGCGCACTGCATTTATTTATACATTCGGGCATTGATATATTATACTCCGATTGATATTGTTAGATTATAGATCTACCGACTTGACGAGATCGCCTAAACTTTCAAGATTTATTCAATTTTAAAAGAATAATCGTGCCGAATTCTTTTCGAGCTTGAGTTTTTAAATAAATTCCACATCCCGAGGCAATAAAATGCTCCTGTCACGTATCTTTCGCACGCGCTAAAACGCGTGCACGCACGATATATACTCGCCTACGCGCAGTTCCGAATATTTATGCGCTTCTCCACACGTGCACGCGCGTGTCCGTTCCTGGTGTGCATCTGTGCGCGTGCACGTTGCTTTCATGCACGTTTGTTCTCCGCTTGGGAACGAGCGGCCTGAGACAAAAACCGAAAGAGCGACAGAGAGAGAGAGAGAGAGAGAGAGAGAGAGAGAGAGAAAGAAGAAACGAAAAGAGAAGACGCAACGTGCGCAGGTGGTGAAACCCGTAATCGGGCCGTAAGAGATAATCGAGGAATCACCTGAGGTGGCCCTCGGCTGCCGATCCGATGACTCACGGGCGACCCGAATGAGGGATTGACAGCTGTCAGCCGACGTGAATGATGACCATAAACATCGGCCGGAACGGGCGCATAGCTGGAGCGTAGCCGCGCGATCGGCGTATCGATCGTCGTGCTCGTGGCAGGCGGATTGGAACCGCGCGAGGTAGCCGCAGCGGCGCTCACCCGTCTAACACCGTCCCGGCTGCGATTCACCCGTCGCGACCGTGGGGGACTCGTGATATCGCCACGGGAATCGTTGGTGATCGCCAGCAACTGCCGCTAGCTTTCTTCGCTTGTTGTTCACTGGCCACTGCACTAGGCCGCCCCCACCTTTGGCGTGAGCACGATGCGTAGTATGTCAGGTGACAGACAGACGGCACGGCACGGAGACTGTGGGCAAGCGTTCGGAAAACGCAGCTGATCGTGCGCCTGTTCGAGCCATAGACTTAGCGTGTATCGAGAGCGAGCGCAGGAGCATGTAGAGAAAGAGGGAGATATCTGGGCTCAAACCTCTCTCCGATTGAAAAAGGAGAAGTAAGAGAGAGACAGACGGACCTGCAAGATTCTCCCTGCCTTAATTTTTGTTAGTTTTATAGCTGCTTCTCCAGCGAGCCATTGTCGCCGTGGAAGTCGCTTGATCTATTCACACCATGTCTATGGTCTGAATGACCGGTTACTAGGCGCAAAATGATCAATGAATGAGTTCAGAAAACGCAGCAGCTAGCTGTGTCATTTTACTCTTAACTTCGTAACTTAAAATGGTTAGTGATAAAGCTGATATAAAAAGTATTTGTATTTTTTTGGATATTA